CTCTCAATGCGAAGATTGAGTAAAATTTTAAAGGTTCCTGGGATGATTTGATTGAATACTCCAGACTGAATACTCGGGGTCTTAAGAAATCTTCTTCACACATTCACTTGTTCTACAAATATTTGCTAAACACTGGCTTGTGTATAGAGTTCAACACCACAAGGTCCTTAGCTGTCGGGAATTTGCCATAAACAATAAATAGATGCATAAAGAAGATCATTGAAGTTGGAGTGGCGGACAGAATAAATGAGGAAGGACAGTTCAGAAGGAGAAGAAAATGGAAGGCGGCATCTGAGGTGAGGCCTGAGAGAGAAGGAGTCACCTTTCTAAGGAGCTGGAGAAAGGGCATTCTGATAGAAGGGTCATCAGTGTCAAAGCTTGCGAAGTGAGGAAGTATGGGGGATACGGGGAGGTGGCTGAGAACAAGGAACAGGAACAAGTCAGAGTCCACCTAAGGACAAATGTCTACAATCAATCCATCGTGCTCCTGACTCAGCAGGCTTTCTGTTCCACATCCCTGAAAGCTCTTAGAGAACCCACTGAAGTTAGAAAAACACTGTCTTCCTGAAGTCACGCCCCCTACCGAATGTCAGAACTCAAGAGGCGCAAAACTCCATCAGGCCTTAAGTGTAGCAGGTGGGAACCTGAGTCAGGATGTCTTGTCCAGTGTACTTGGCTCCAAGGAAAGATGCCCAGGGTCAATCCGAAACTGAGCCCCACTGTACCCCACCTTGCTGGCCTTTTGAGCTTTCAACTCACTGTCAATGAACTTTACCACTGGGCTTCCTGAAGCCCTGCACCTCCAGAGAGATCTTTGCATGTAGAAACACTGTGATTTTAGATGCCTCCTTGGGCTGACAAGCAAAATAACAAGTAGAATAGACTATAGCCAACATGGTCTCAAAGAGGGACAGACTTGCTGGGGGATCTTTCTGTATGCTGTGAATATGTGTGGCTCCCATTGGATAATAAATAAAGCTGCACTGGCCTATGGCAGGGCAGGAAAAGGTTAGGCAGTACATTCAAACTGGAGATGAGACCAAGAAGGGTGGAGACAGGGTTGGAAGGAGATGTCAGCCTGCAGCCAAAGGAGCAACAAGATGCCCGCAGACCAGTAACACCATGGCCACATGGCACTATATAGATTAATAGAAATGGGTTGAGGTAAGAGCTAGCGAGGAAGAAGTCTGACCCATAGGCCATACAGTGTGTAAGTAATATAACCTATGTGTTTACCTGGGATGAAGTGGCTGTGGGACATGGGTGGGAGAGATTCTTCCTGACCTAGCGGCCAGGCAGGACCAGAGAAACTTCCGGCACTATCTCATTTCTAATACATTTTTGTTTCTGTTATCTCCCAACCCTTCCAGACGTTTGTTCACCTTGTGGATAGAGGTTTTTCAATCATAGTTTTCCCTCAAAGTCATTGTCCATTTCATCATTCTGTTTATCTCCCACGGAGCACTTATCACAGTTAATAGTCATCTGCTATCTCCTTGGTGGTCCTCTCTTTACCTTGTGTAGCTCTATGCAGACAGAATTGCTCCGCAGCCTGTACATCCTCCCACACCACATTCGCTTCCTGCCTGAGCCTCGTTGGTTTAGGCCCTGACAACAAAATACCACAGACTGTGTAGCCTGGACAACAGACATTTGTTTATTACAGTATGGGAGACAGGAAGTCAGAGATCTGAGTGCTAGCGTGTCATAGATTGAGTGGCCGACTACAGGGGACTTTCTGTTTTTCAGACTGTATCTTTCCCTTCCATTGTGTCTCACACCTTCTTCCTGTGAAGGTACCAAGCCCACCGTGGGTGCTCCATCCTCATGACCTCTTTGAACCCAACCATCACCCAAAGGTCCCACCTTCTGATACCATCACCTTGGGAATAATGGCTTCAATACATCAACTTGAAAGTAGGAGACAAAAAATATTCAGCCCATAGCTGGGACTCTCAAAAGAGCAGGCCCAGGGCAAAGCGGAACTGAATGGGGACCTTTCTGATCCTCAGCCAAGGGTGAGAAGGAACTAGGAAATGAGCAGGGAGCTAGAGGAGAATTCCACTGCCCAGGACAGTTCCCTGAGCTCAGGGGATTTTGCCAGCTGACTGGGAAGGGGAGGATCTCAGCTGGACCCCATTAGTGGGACTTGTTTTCCATTCCAGTTTCTCTGCCGCCTGGGGCTGGGAAATAGCAGAGCACCACCTTGGTGCTGAGTCACCCCACTCAGTGACCGGGGAGCTTACATAACCAGACACTGTGGGTTTGCACACTGGGCTCAGACTATAGGACCAGGAAGGAACAAGGTGAGGCTGGAACCATTGGGAGGGAATGGCAGGTGGTGGCTGTGGCCACAGGGTCCCAGAGGCAAGTCTGTTTATGCCAGGAAGTCACAACGGACCCAGGAGACTGTGAAGGCATGGTAGCATGTCTAGAAATGATAGACACCGATGGAAGAAAACAGCATAAAACTTGAGCTTTAAGTCAGAGCTTCAGAACTTGGTGCCCTGTGTTCCAGGGTTTGGAGAACGTTAAACTCAGGTGGCATATGAGGAAGGGACTGAGACCACGGTGAACTCCTGAACTAAGATATGTCTGCAAGGTATTACTGCCTGATCTGGCTGGTTTTGTGTCAACTTGACCCAAACTAGAGTCATCAGAGAGCTTGAAAGAGCCTCAGTGGAGGAAATGTCTCCATGAAATCTAGCTGCAAGCCATTTTTGTTTTTGTTTTTGTTTTTGTTTTTTTTTTTTTGTTTTTTCGAGACAGGGTTTCTCTGTGTAGTTTTGGTGCCTGTCCTGAATCTCTGTCTATACACCAGGCTGGCCTTGAGCTCACAGAGATCCACCTGCCTTTGCCTCCTGAGTGCTGGGATTAAAGGCGCCACCACCGCCCGACCCAGCTGTAAGCCTTTTAATTAACGATTGATGTGCGGAGGGCCCTGCCCATTGTGGGAGATGCCATCCCTGGGCTGGTGGTCCTGGGTTCTATAAGAAAGCAGGGCTAAAGAAGCCATGGGGGGGGGGTCCGGAGGAGCAAGCTAGAGGCTGTTGGAAGGCAGGAGCGGAGCAATGCCCAAATCAAAGGAACTTGTTTCTTCAAGCTCTTCAGGCAGTGATTCTGACAGCGGAGGTGGAAAAAAAGTTAAAGAGGAAAAAGCAAGTTGTTCCAGAAAAACCTGTGAAGAAGCAGAAGCCCAGCGGAGATGATAATATGTTTCAGATTGGGAAGATACATCAGTGTTCGGGACTTTAAAGGAAACATTCTAATTGATACTAGAGAATATTGGGTGGACTCAGAAGGTGAAATGAAACCAGGGAGAAAAGGTATTTCTTTGAACACGGAGCAATGGAGCCAACTGAAGGAACAGATCTCGGACATAGATGATGCAGTAAGAAAGCTGTAAAATCTGAGCCGTATCAAACCTGTACTGTTGTAATTGTTTTAATCTGTCTTTTCACATTAACTTTTGTTTTCTAAATGTTGTTTTCCAAGCCGTTGTATATTTGGATTGCAGAACAATTTGTAAGGTGAATACTTTTTTTAAATGTGCATTCTTAAAATGTCCTGAGTGAAGCTAAATGTCATCTTTATTAAAGAGAGTTGCATTGTGCCCTCTACCTAGTGTAAAATAAAGTCAGATCATTACAATCTTAAAGAAAAAAGAAGAAGCCATGGGGAGCAAGCCAGTAAGCAGCACTCCTCCATGGCCTCTGCATCATCAGCTCCTGCCTCCAGGTTCCTGCCCTGTTTGAGTTCCTGTCCTGACTTCCTTCAACAACGAAGAGCAGAACAGCAGGATGGAAGCTTTGGGGTCATGGTGTTTAGTTGCAGCAACAGAAACCCTAACTGAGACACTGCCACAGGAGGCTGCAGTACAGTGACTCACAAGGATGCTGGTCAGGTAGGGAAACAGTCTCTGTGGGTCAGAAAAAGGCAAGTGGTGGCTGCCTCAACGTCACTGCCAAGTTCCTCCCTTCGCAGATGAAGTGAGGCGAGAGTGGGAAAGGGGGAGAGGTTCCTAGGTGTGATGCAAAAGGGGAATCCCCTTTCTAAGAACCTGTTCTCCTGGGTCTTTAGTAGCCTCCAAGGGACGATGCCCAAAGGAAGTTGGCCTAAAGGAAAGTTGTTTGTAAATAACCCGAGGAGCCCTGCTTTCTACACATTGACAGCTTCAATGTATTCTTTCCCCATATACCTACATTTTTGTGGCGGCATCTTGGTACAAATAGAGTGGCAGCATGCTGTACTGCCTCTGCCCTGTGCAGAGAGAACGGAATGACTGTCAGAGGCAGAAAGAACTGAAGTGGAACCCTCACCTACCTTGGTTTACCTCCCTCTGTTTACTCTCTGAGACTCATTTTCCTTCTCTGACAAATAGGATAATCAGCCACCCATCCTCAGTATGCCAATTGAAGAGACGAGTAATAGTAGAGAGTAGAGAAAGGGGTTTTGTTCAATTGGCCGTGTTAGGAAGAACAAGCCGGGCAGTGGTGGCGCATGCCTTTAATCCCAGCATTCAGGAGGCAGAGGCAGGTGGATCTCTGTGTGTTCGAGGGCCAGCCTGGGCTACAGAGCAAGATCCAGGACAGAAGAAGAACAAATAGAGAGGTCTGGTGACCCTACCTCCATCTTCTGGTACTGACATGAGTGACATGAGGTTTGGGTTTAAACAGAGGGCAAGACGTGTGCAAAACCAAGCAGTTCTGTCAAGTGTGGCCCTGATCATCGCTGACCCATCCATGTCTGGGATCTAGTCTGTCCTACAAGGCAGTAAGACAAGTTGTCAGTACGCTGAAATCCTTTCTGAGAGACAAGTTCCTCCTCCTTCCCGCTGGCGCTGGGCTTCAGGTGGTCTCTTCTCCCAGCATGAGTTCTTTTGGAGAAATTCCAAGTCCTCAGAGTCCATTATTTCAACATTCTGATAGCTGGGGGGGGGGTGAGGTGGGGTGGGGGCAGGAAAGGTGTCTAGGGTATCTTTGCTTCTGCCAGGACAGATACTGTGGCACTTAGTCTCAGAGAGTCTTGTGAAAGCTGAAAGAGATCGAAGGCTTTGGTGACTCTCAAGCCCCGGACATTTTCAAGTTTATTAGTGTCTTTTCTATATTAACTTTGCTTTGTTTTTGCTGCTGTTGTTTTATATTTTATTTATCTGCCTTATGTGTCTTTGTGTGTCTGTGTGGACATGCATGCCACAGCACACATGTGGCAGTCAGGGGACAACTTTTGGAAGTAGCTTCTCTCCTTTCACCATATGGGTTTTGGGGATTGTAATTAATCAGGTCTGTGAGCTTGGCAGCCCACTCTTACCCATGGAGCCGTCTTGCTGGTTCTATTCCGGTTTTTCTGAGAAGTTCTCTCAGAATAGCCCAGATTAGGCTGGAATGTGCGATTCTCCTGCCTCAGCCTCCCAGGCGCTGAAATGACAGATGTGCTCAAATGTAAGGTGGTTTGTGCAGGTGTCACAGCGTCCTGGAAACGACCCTTGGAGAGGGGAGAATGAAAACTCAGTTCTCAGAACTGGATCAGACTTCGGGAGTCTGGGGCCAGGCCGTTTATTGCCAGCACATTTAAACACAGCACAGTTTGGAAAAAGTTTCCTGGTGTAATATAATCTCTGCAAAATTACACTGAAACTCAACTCAAAGCTGCCATTTCTTCCAAGAAGATGGGTTCTAGAGATAGGCTACCTGTACTAGCTTAAGGGCCTAGAGAAGGGACCTGGCCTGGTCTTAGTCATACTGATTGGGCAGTTAGCCACGTCTGGTCCTAATTGTGGGAACTTGGTATGGCCTGGCCTTCAGATAATGCAGGTCACCAGGTTGTTAGCACCGCCAGGTCCCAGCCTTCTGAACAGGAAAACAGGTTACATAGCTTTTGCTTCCCAAGGGCAATCCTGCATGCTTAACATTCCCGGTTTCCCTGGAGAGCTGTGGGTCAAGGCCCTTCCTGCTCCCAATATTTAGATTTTTGGGTGTTTTTTGTTTGTTTGTTTGTTTTGTTGTTGTTGTTTTGTGTTTGGTGATTATAATTGACAACTGAACCTTATGAGAAAAAGCAGCAGAAAGTAAAAAGGAAAATATTGTCTCCTGTAGTGCTAATCAAGGAGTGAAATGAAAGTTTTGGTGTTTTTATTAATACTTCATGGACACACACACACACACACCAGCTTAAAGATATTGGCAGGGACTAGAGAGATTGCTCAGTGGTTAAGAGCACTGGATTCGAGGGGCCCGCAACTGGATCAGGCCCTCTGAATAGGTGAGACAGTTGATTGGCTTGATCTGTTTGGGAGGCATCCGGGCAGTGGGACCAGGTCCTGGGCTCATTGCATGAGTTGGCTGTTTGAAACCTGGAGCTTATGCAGGGACGCATGGCTCAATCTGGGAGGAGGGGACTGGACCTGCCTGGACTGAGTCTACCAGGTTGATCTCAGTCCTCGGGGGAGGCCTTGCTCTGGAGGAGGTGGGAATGGGGGGTGGGCTGGGGGTAAGGGGAGGGGGGAGAACAGGGGAACTGTGGCTGATATGTAGAACTGAATAGTATTGTAAAATAAAAGAAAAAAAAGAGAGAGAATGCTGGGGATACATAGAACTGTCAAATATGAATTACCAGAGTGAATCTTTTGATTGGGTTAGGTGATCCAGTTTGTTTTTAATGGATTATATTAATTAAAAATGCAAAGTATTAATTCATTTAAAAAAAAAAAAAGAGCACAGAGGAGCCAGGCTTGATCCCAACACCTACAAGCAGCTTACAACCATCTCCACAAAATAAAAATAAATGTGTGTGTGTGTCTGTGTGTGTGATTTTCTCAAGTTAAAAAAAAATCAAAGAGCTATTGGCAGACTCCCCAGAAAAAGGGAAAGAACATGCTCACTGAGTATTGGTCCAAAGATGACTCCAGAAGGCTGAAAGCTGACTCTGCCTCCTGTGAACTGGAAGTGAGACAGAACTGTCCACTCCTCCAAGCTCCGGTTCACTGGATGGACGCACCTTCCTACTCGTTAACAGGAGAGTCTGTCCAGGCGGGGAGCTGAGCTCTGTGCACAGGGAGACGAGAACTGAGACTCAATGGCCAAAAGGGAGCAGAGCACACACAGGCGACGCTTCCGTCACCGGTGCCTCTACTTCCCCTTCTCCAGGACTGATACAGAAACTACAGGTGGATTCTAGGGAAGTCTCCTCACATGCTCATGCCTTTGAGCCCAGTCCAGGCCCAGGAAACAAAATTGATCCAAAATTGATAAGCTGATCCAAAACAAGACTGGGAGCCTCTATCCTGGCAAACCCTTCCGAAGCAGGGAGGAGCCCCCCACACACACTCCTCCAGGCTTCTCTCTCAGTGCTGAGTAGCTCACACGAGACTGCAAGTCCTTAGGTGACTGATTGGAATCCACTATAGCCAAGTGATTGAGACGTGTACGAATAAGCATCCCGTTAGAGGAAATGCCTCCACTGCCGACAGAGTACTCAGCCTGAGCTTATTCTGAAACAAGACCCCAGAGAGACCTCTCTTTGCCAGAGTCAGAGCTTCTGCACTGGGGCTGTGGTTAACTGCTTCTGCTGAGTGTCAGGGTTTCCTCCCGACATCCTTCTCCCCATGCTAGCTGAAAATATATGCAGTGGCCAGAGAGATGCCAGGTAGACATGCTTGCCCCCAAGCCTGGTGGTGACCTGGGTTCAAGCCTCAGGACCCACATGGAGGGGGGGGAGCCAGGTTCTATAGGGTTGTCCTCTAACTTCCACAGGAGTGCCATGCCAAGTGCATGCCCACATACTCACACCCACAAGCACACTAAATAAATGAATGAAACTGTAATATCAACTTTGGTAAGTATGTGAATCATTGGTGAAAAGGCAAACGTGGGTCGTGTCCAAGCAGCTCCGTTAATCCCATACAATCTGGTTTAGATTATCTATCAGATAAACTTGTAGGGTCCAGGCTTAGAAATGGGATGCAGGACTGTAGTGGGTAGCGGTTCTAGCTATGACCTTGCAGCACTGCCCCTAGTGAGATAACTGTTACACCTGCCTATGACCTTGAAGTACATACCCCAGGGGTGTGGCCGCTTGGGACCCTTAGGACCTGGGATGCAGGTATGTGGCTCCTCTCTTGGCTCCCTCATGGTTTTGGATGCTGAAGACAGACCACACAACAGGACAATGTGGGACTGTGCCTCGGCCTTTCAGGACCTTGCAATAATTCCTCTGTTCTGAATCGTGAGTTTCTTTTTCTAATACATTCCTTTGCCCTTTAAGCAGACTCCGTGAATTGCTGGTGACCATTCTTCCATTGCAGGACAGGAAGTCAAGCCAGTGAGAACAAAGCTGGGCACTGAATGCAGCCTGAAAGCCAAGCTGAGTAAGACCTCTGAAGTCATCAGACAGGACCCCAACTGTCTGCCCTACACTGAGTAAGAGCCCTGACATTATCACTCATTGGTGCCTCTAAATGAGAGCCTATTTGGAAGTGTGGTCTTTGCAAACCTAATCAGTTCAATTGAGTTCATAATGGACTCACTTAGACCCTAAATCTGGTGTCCTTATAAGAACGGCTTTTGGGCTGGGCGTGGTGGCACACACCTTTAATCCCAGAGTTTGGGGGGCAGAGGCAGGCGGATCTCTGTGAGATCAAAGTCAGCCTGGCTTATATAGTGTTTCCAGGTCAGCCAGAGTTACATATCTGAAAAAAAAAATTTTTTTTAAGCCATTTAGACACACATAAACACGGGAAAATGCCACACAGCATTGGAGAGAGGCCTTTGAGCTACAGAAGACGCGTCCACAAACCAAGGGATTCCAAGGATTGCCAGAACCTAGGAGAAAATCATGGAACAGATGGTTCTTCCAAGCTTGAAGAAGGAACTAATCTCACCGACACCTTGGTTTCAGACTTCTAATCCCCTGAACTGTGAGAATGTTTGAAATAACTCATCGTGAGGCACTTTCTTACAGCAGCCCTGGGAAACCCATCTAAAACCGCTGATGATGATGTCTTCACTGTGTTGAATAAAAAGGTACCAGGCTCCTCCTGAACATTTTGTGACCTGGAGGATCCAAAGTTAAGGCCAACCTGGGCTGCGTGAAACCTTGTCTCTACACAGACAGAAAGGTGGGCAAACAAATAAAAATCATTCTAAAATAAGTATAATTTTTAAAAAATGTTTTTAATGTTCATTCACAGGATGTGTGTGCATGTGTAGCAGTCCGAGACGACCCGCAGAAGTCAGCTCCCTCCTACCGTGTGGGTCTGGGGGACCAATTGAACTCAGGATGTCAGGCTCCGTAGCAAATGCCTGGACCCTCTGAGCTCCTTTGCCGACCCTGAAATGTTTTAATGTTTTGAAAAGTGTTAAATACAAAGTAGAGGATTTGCCTAGAATGTGTGAGGCTGGCAGTTCAGTCCCTATAACTAACATAAGAAAAACTATACACAAAAGTACAATAACTATATATAATATATACAAGTAATAAATACCTAAACAATGTCTAGTCCATTTGTATTTGATAAATTCATAGAAAATAATTCCATTATCTATCCTATTTTGGTAAGTCCAAAATGTATCTAATTCACTTTCTATCCTAATTAATCTTCAACTATAACTAAATAATCTTCAACTCCCTCAGAGACCCAAGAAGGAAATAATATTAGCTAACAAAAATAGAAACAGGAAGTACATGCAAGCAACTTCCCAAAAAATTGTGAGTTGACAGAAACAGCCAGCTGCCTGGACAGTCATCTGAGGTTTCTCCGCAGTGTTGGGGCAGCATCTTCAGCCTCTAGGCTTAGCGTATCTAACAGACTCATTTGTGAAGTAGGATGTACACAAGGTCAACAGTTCAACCTCACATTGGGTGAGAGCAGTCCATGTGCCAGAGACATACACATGCAAATTCCTCACAAAAAGAAAGAAGAGCAGTGTGAGGCAAGGCTGAGCAAGGGGGCTGCGCATCCTCCTATTTCCATCTCCTTTCTGGACAGCAGGTAAGCACCATGACTGGTTACTTTTTAAAAATTAGTACTATCAGCCGGGCGGTGGTGGCGCACGCCTTTAATCCCAGCACTCAGGAGGCAGAGCCAGGCGGATCTCTGTGAGTTCGAGGCCAGCCTGGGCTACCAAGTGAGCTCCAGGAAAGGCGCAAAGCTACACAGAGAAACCCTGTCTCGAAAAACCAAAAAAAAAAAAAAAATTAGTACTATCACCAGGCTGTGGTGGTGTATGCCTTTAATCCCAGCACTCAGGAGGCAGAGGCAGGTGGTCAGCCTGTTCTACAGAGTGAGTTCCAGGAAAGGCACCAAACTACACAGAGAAACCTTGTCTCAAAAAAACAAACAAACAAAAAAAAGTACTATCTTATTTTCTTCCTGCCAGAACATAAAACCCATGAAGATGGGAAGGAGCCTGCTTTGGTGCCGTGCATCTCATGCAGACAGAATGGGCTCTGACAGACATAACTGCATGAATGAGCCAATGAAGCAGCCCCTGGGAAGCTTCTTCAATGATGTCACCACGTCCATCTTCCCTGCACAGGCCTCTCTCACGACAGCAAGCTTCTTGCTGGGAACAAGCACAGAACACCTCCAGCCAGAGTCTGCCAGAAGCCTGCCTGATTCCCAGAAGGCAGCAAGTGTCAGAAACACTCTTTCTAGGACATCGGAGTTCAGCCCAAGTCATAAATAGCACCTTACATGTGCCTCCTAGCGTCTCGGCCCATCTCCTCCTCATCCCCGAAAACTGCGAAGAAGAGCTCTGAGAGCTGGAAACAGAGGCACCCTCAGGCCCCGGCAAAAGAGCGAAGGTGGGGTGAAGACAAAACAGGAGGCTGGGCTCCCCACCGACCTGCGGAGCTTTAAGGGAAGCCTGTTTGCTGTGCCCCCATGGTACCGTCCTGACTGTAGTTTACTTGAGTCCCAGCTTAGTCTCAGGGAATGGATGCCCTTTGCCCATCTTCTAGCAGCTAGAATCTAGCTGTTCTGTCTTAGACTATGAGGTCAGGATTGAGCACACAGGTGTTGTGCTCACCAGTTTGTTGTTGTTGTTTTGGTTTTTCAAGACAGGGTTTCTCTGTGTAGCTTTGCGCCTTTTCTAGATCTCGCTCTGTATACCAGGCTGGCCTCGAACTCACAAAGATCCGCCTGCCTCTGCCTCCCCAGTGCTGGGATTAAAGGTGTGCACCACCACCACCTGACATGGGCTCACCAGCTTTATCTTCTGAGAAAACCCAGCAATTCTCAGGAGTAGGGAAGTTCCTTCCTTCCCTCAGGCCCCTGCACTGAGCATCTTCTCCTGAATTCTAATTCACTTTGAAGAGTGTTCCCTGACCTCACATGCCGGCAGGACCACTGTCCAAACAGAAGACTGTGAACCTGTTGCTGAGATTAAGGAGACCAGAGAAAAGGCAAAATTCCGGGACCTTTCCTGCTTTAAACTTAGAGTGTCCAATCCTTTTCTTCAGTTCCTTTTAAAACAAATTTTTAAATTATTTTTTTTGAAATTACAATATAATTACATCATTCCCCCCTCCTCCCTTTCCTCTCTCTAAACCAGCAGTTCTCAACCTATGGGTCTCAACCCTTTTGGGGGTCAAAAGACCATTTCACAGGGGGCGCCTAAGACCATTGAAAAACATAGATATTTACTTTACAATTCATAACAGTAGCAAAATTAAAGTTACAAAGTAGCAACAAAATAATTTTAAGGTTGGGGTCTCCCCAGCATGAGGAACTATATTGAAGGGTCGCAGCATTAGGAAGGTCGAGAGCCACTGTTCTAAACCCTTCCATGTATCCCTCCTTATTCTTTTCAAATTCATGCTCTCTTTTTTGATTAATTGTTGTTACACACATGTCTGTGTATATACATCTATATTCCTAAATACATCAATACAACCTGCTCAGTTTGCATAATCTCGCTTGCATGTGTGTTTTCGGGCTGACTATTTGATCCTGGATAACAATTTGGTGTACTCCTCCCTGGGGAAGATGATTTCTCCTACTCTCAGCATTCCTTAATTGACTGGAGCTCTTCGTGTAGGTCTGAGGCCTCCAGGGCCTTTCCCCATCCACGTTACATGTCTGTTATTGTCCTTGTTCAGCTCATGTTCAGGAATTCATGTTGGTGAGCCTTTATGGGTGTAGCTTCTGAAATTCCTAGGAGACAGTAAACTCCCTGATCCTCTGGGAGGATCTTTGTCTTCCACAATGATCCCTGAGCCTTGGGTATGGGAGTTATATTGTGGATGTATCCATGAGGACTAGGCACTGCAACTCTGCATTTTGACTTGCTGTGGTTTTCTGTCACGTGTTTTCTATCCATTGCAAAGAGAAGCATTCCTGAGCTGGGATAAGGACTGCTGTAACCACAGCAACCAAGGTTAGGTTTCCCTGAACTGTCTTAGGTAGACCTGTATTGGCGGTTCCTCCCCACCAATTCTAGACCACCAGGGGAAGCATTTCTCCTTCCTCCCCCTAGTCTTTGTACTGTTGAACCCAGGACCATGCTCATGCTAGACAAGTACTCTACTACTAAGCTACATCGCCAGCTGGTTCTCCCTGCCTTATTTCCAGGTGGTGAATGGATATTCCTTGAGCAGTCAAAATGAGTGGGCACCATATCTATCAACTTTGAAAAGGCCAAGGATCCCCAAAGTTACTTTGGGGATCTCTAGACTTCTAGAGTTTTCCTATACTTGGGCTAAATATTTAGTGCCTTCCCCCAACACCAGCCTTCAGCATCCCCAGTCTAGCTGAGAAAGGGATACTATATAGGCCTGGTGATGCAGTTGGCTCTTGCCTAGCATGCGCATACAAAGCCCTGGTTCAATCCTTAGCAAAGCATAAATAGGCATGGAGGTGCACACCTATAATCCCAGCACTCGGGAGGCAGAGGCAAAAGGGTTGGAAATTCATCCTCATCTACATAGTGAATTCAAGTACAGCTAGGATACAGGAGATCCTGCCATGAAAAAGGGAAAGGGGAAGGAGAGGAATAAGAAGGAGGCAAGGTGGGGGGGGGGGGGTAAAAAGGAATGTAGAGAAAAAGCAGGGAGGGATGGGAAGAGAAAGAGATGAGGAGGAAGAGACAGAACAAAAGCAAAGTAGCTATGATATTTCTAGGTGGGCCACTGAGGTCGACACCATTGCATCTATTTTATAGATGAGGGAACTGAGCTCAGTGAAGATGAGTAATTTGCCAGGTTATCCAGCTTGAAAAAGGCCCCATCAGCTTTTACTACTTCAAGAAGCCCTTGGCCAGCAGGGATCCTGAGCTGAGGGTTCTCGGAGACTCCTCATCTCTGAGCTTCTGACAAGCTATAGATGAAGTCCTCAAACTAGACCACGCATCACTGTTTCCCCAGGAGAGTTCTAGTTGCACCTTGTATGTCCGTGTGACTTTTAATAGTGCCACGTTCACAAAGTCATCTGAGTTTGGAGAACACAGGACAGACTTACCTGTTCTAGTAGAGACCAGGGACAAAAGAGTAGAGAAAAAGAAAGCTACAAAAAGAGTCGTTCAAGGGTAGCTCAGAAACCCTGCTGATGGTTTGATGCTGTCCAGGCTGGCCCCACCCCAGTTTCTCTTGCTAGTTTTGTCTCAGATGTTCCCTTCCAAATGGTGTGTGCCTTCCCTTGCACAATACCAGAGCCATGCGCACAGGACAAGAGGAAATGAAGTTGGACTGTGCCAGAGGGCTCTACTACCCCAGATGGCCCTTCTAGTAGGTCCTGCTTTGCTATAAACTAACTCTCCAGAGCATCCTTCTAGCTCTAATGAGTCGAGAACTCGCTGCTGTGGAGGAGAAATCTAGGAGCCCACCCACACCAGGGTTCCAGGGCCCTGTTAGGGAAGAAAGTGACAATGGCCGAAGCTTTTTTTTTTAATCTGTTTGTCCAAATTGGGTTTTAATTAAATTTTTTCAAGGCAGCGCCTCCTGTAGCCCAGGATGCCTTTAAGTATGCAGCCAAAGCTGGCCTCCTGATCCTCCTGCCTCTGCCTCTGTAATGGGATTATAGATATGTGCCACCATGCCTTGCTGCGACTAAAGCTTTTGTTTTACCTTGACGTGTCCCCCACAATTCTCCTGTATGATGTAGTGTAACTGCA